AATGCTAGTATAGGCTCACTAGCCTACAACTACATATACACCTAATGGTCCATATTTGAAATTTAAGTTTTTTTCTACAAATCCAAATCATGTGAAATTTTAGGCGTCTATTCTTCTCATCAAAATGTACCTAATAAAAATATTAAAAAAATAATTTATAAAATTAACTAAAATACTTTTGAAATGTTCAAGGGATATTTTGGCTAATTTATTTTTCACCAAATATTTTTTTAATATCATAGGATTTGAGATGATATGACTTTTTGGGATGATGCCACTATCTTTATGAGAAGAGAACCAGTCTGCTGCCACCGCCAAAATATTTGATCAACGTTGATAGATCTGTACTAATACTATCAAAGGCCCTTCTATTTCTCTCCTTCAGTATGCTCTAAAGTATGTGAACCCAAATAGATCTCCATAAGATAGCACCCACCTTCGAAATACCTGGAGAAAATCTATTATACATAAACATCTTAACACTTTGTAAGACATGTTATAAAAGGTTAAAACTTTGACAGGCCCAACTCCAAAGACGAAGAACAAAAGGGCAAGATAAGAAAAGATGTTGAGCTGTCTCATCGCTAGCCTTATAGAGAATGCAAACATTGATGATAATGCATCCTTGCTTTCTTAAGTTATCAATTGTTGCTAACTTGTCTTGGCATAGAATCCATAGAAACAGTTGAACTTTTAAAGGCACATGGAATTTCTTAATCGTAAAGAGCCCTGGGTCCATCTCCCAACTTCGATCACAAAATAAAAGGTCATAGGCTGTTTTAATAGAGAAATCACCACAGAGATTAAGATCCTAGATAATTGCATCCTCTTTATTGGGACTGAGGTAAACATTATGTAATAACTCCAACAATGTTTTATATTCCTCAATGAAGCTATCAATAACTCTCATGTACCTTTAAAGAATAGATAAATAATACTAATGTAAACCTCCCCACTAGCATCTTTTACAGAAACCAGAGGGTTAGAAACCTTTTAGAATACCTCAGGAAACAATGATCTCAAATCCCCAATCCATTTATCAGACCAGAACAATGTGGCTTCTCCATTGCCGACCACATTCTGAACTCTCCACCACCATTTTATAAGCCACACGTATGTACACAAACCTTTGCCCAACTCATGAAGTGTAATATCTTTTACTTCTCCTCATCTCCGCATAAGAAATTCATCATTAACTTTACTAGAAGTTTTTCACTCTGATTTGGCATCCTAAATAAGGACATGAAGTAAACTGGTGGGTTTGACAAAGTGGACTTAATTAGTTTGTATCTTCCTTCTAGAGAAATAGTTTTTTCTTTCCACAAATCCAAATTTTTTTATGAAACCTTTCCATCACCGGATCCCATATAGATTTTGGAGGCCTACAATCCACCAAATGAATACCCAAATACGTATACGGTAAAGCCTCAACACCACAACCTAGCAGCTCAACCATTCTTGACACAATAGATTGAAGGTATCCTATACCAATCAGTTTGGTTTTGTGAAGCTTGATTTTTAGCCCAGTAGCAAGTTCAACTTTTTCAAAAAAATCCACAAGCATGTAATCTCCCTAACATTTGGTTCATAAAATGATGGTGTCATCTGCATATTGTAAGTGAAATAATTAAACCATTGTTCCCAAATTTAATACCTGAAATAATTCCCTTTGCTATCACACCTCTAAACATCACACTAAAACTTTTAACCCCCAACGTGTATAGAAAATTCGATATGGGGTCACCCTATCGTAACTCTCTAGAGCCTTAAAAAAAAAACAGTCGCCTTCCCATTCACAAGTACGAAGAAGTGAGTAGATGATAGGCAACTATATATCCACAATCTCCACCTTGATTAGAACCCCATTCTGCCCATTATATATTGTAGTACCCTCCAATTAAATTTATAGACCTTCTCAAAATCTAGCTTACAAATAAGGCTACGTTTATCCTCTCTTACTCTTAAATGGCTACACTCTTCAGCTAGCAAAATACTATCTATGATTTGCGTGTCTTTCAAGAATGTTGATTGTGGTCCTTTAATCACTAAATAATTCACCTATTGCAACCTATTGGCTAAAGCCTTTGCAATTATTTTGTAAAGGCTACTAATTAGGCTAATTGGACGAATCTCTTTCACCTCCTCAATGACATTTTTTCTTTGGGATTAAAGCAATGAAAGTCGAATTTATTGTAACATTAACTTTTCCTCTATTGGTTAAATAATATCATCCTTCAAAATATTCTAGAATGTTTGAAAGAAGGCCATAGGGAAACCATCAGGCCCGAGAACCTTATCTCTTCCAAGGCCAAACATCGCATCTTTGATTTCTTGCTTCTCAAATTTTCTTTCCAACCATATTGCTTGTTCTGGAGATAATTTCGTGAATGGTAGTTCTTGAATGGATAGATTTAGATCATTTTCAACTATAAAGCTTTCTTGAAATGATTTACCAAAGCATTTTCTGCATCCAAACCATTTTCACGATCCACCCCTTCAATTCGAAAGTTTTGAATAGAATTACATATTCTTAGCATTAGCAATTGCATGAAAAAATCCGTGTTTCTATCCCCTTCCTTCAATCATTGTACACGAGATCTTTGTTTCCAGTAGATCTCTTCCATCCTGAGCAAATCCATGTAAGACGCCACCCATAAACTCCTTTCTCTGACTTGTTCTTGATTTAAGAATCCTCCCATAAATTGTAAATTGTCTAGTTCCTCAATGTGACCTTATGCTTCCCCAATTCTAATATGCAAATCACCCCAAATATTTTTCCATTGTAGAGTGAATTCCTTTTTCGAAAGTAATTTTCTTGATAGCTAAAAACCTTTCCAGCCATCAATATTTGTATTTTTCCAAAACTCTTCTATAATGCTTATAAGAAGTCTCGAGGAGACAAAGAGAGCTCAAACCTAAAGGGAAAAGATCCAAAAGAAAATCCATCAGTGTTAAGTAACAAGGGCACATAATCTGAGGATATCTTAAGAAGGATTTACCTTTGCTTTTTGTAAAACAAATAATGAACTTAGAGGAAACAAAAAATTTGTCCAATCTTGTAAGAATTGGGCCTTGCAAATTATGGTTACACCAAAATAAATTTGCTCTGATGGAAGGAGTATCAATTAAGTCATGCTTTTGAAAAAAAGATTCAAAGTTGCGCATATGTAGTCACCCCGATCTTGACAGGATAAGTTATGGCTAGGTTGAAATGCCTCAAGCAGACTAGCTGGATATTTGAACCATTCACCCTACTTGAACCTTCACGTAAACCTAGCCTCCACTAACCCCATATTGCCTTGGTGGGATCAAAGGCACCAAAAAGAGGAACAAGGTAGATAGACTCATAATTGCCCAATTTAAAGCATTTTCAAAAGGGAAGGCTTTGGCGTTGCTCCAACAGTTGCCAAAGCTCTATCAAGATCTAAAGACAAGACGGTTAAGACACCTCAGTCACAAAACAAGCATCGATGACAGATGGCGACATTGATAATGTCATCAACACTATTCCAAATGTCGCTAGGACCCAAGACCTCAAACAGGTGGGAAATAGCTTGGCCGACAAGACCGACAAACATGAACAGTACAGATTATGGTTGTTGAATTTCAGTTGATCAACAATCAGAAGACTGTACATCCAAGATGGTGTGCCAGCTAACATTTGACGACATTGCAATTGTCTTCGGTGTCATTCGGATTAGCTTCGAGTTGTGATTGGTCCATCAGATGCAGATCAAAATCATGAGAAGGTGATACATGTTCAACATAGTTTTGAAGGTAGTCGGAATGCCGCTGGTGCCATTGCCAATGGCGTCAAATTCTGACAAAGCCGTCTCAACCGCATTAAAAAACAATCAATATTTGTTGACCGCTATTAATGCAACATTAATGATAGGGGCAATGGTCAAAATGTCTCCAACGCCATTTCAAATGTCGTCAGAATTCTACTGGTCCGAATTTCACACAAAGCCGACCTAAAGGTTGCGATGAACCTGCTTTGCTATATAACCCCTTCTGCCTCATGCTTAAGGTTCGAATCCTCTCTACCTTGAGCTTAATCATGTTCAAAAGTTTAGGTTGAAGGTTATAAGGGAGTGCCCTATGTGTGAACGCACTTGAGCAAATCTATACATATCTTAGATCTATTAATCTAAGATCCATTTTCTAATCCCTTCAAGGTACTCTACATAACCGAAGCAGTTCGGATAATCTGAGTTTTTGAGCTCCGTTCTTTCTATTTCTATTTGTCTCGTTAAAATCAAAAGTTCGATATTGACTATGCACAATTGATCTAAATTGGTGCCGGCTCTAGGGGCCAGACCTTAAATAATAGTTCTTCAAAGAAAAAGTAAAATATATCATCTTTGGTTTTGAAAATTTATTTATTTTTACAGATTATAATCTAGTGTTAAAGATTATATAATCCCCAAAAAAAGGATTAAATACTATTTAAACATAAATTATTAGTGGGCTCGCATTTCTACGTATGAGTCGTAGAAACCGTGTCCTTTATGAAAACAAAATAAAGCCTCACCTCAAATCTTTATCCAAAAAGTACTTTAGGCAATGGAAATCTCATGATGGCTCTAAAACCAATTTTTAGTACGATAATAAAATTTGAAACTCAAAAAATTTATAAATCTCGTGGCTCTTTGAACACTTATTTTTACGGCAAAATAGATCATCTAAATTATCTATTACAATATACATTATTTTTAGAGTTTGAAATCCTAATTTTCTTTCACAATCGTAATATTCAAGCCGAGATGATCGATGTAAAGGTTTTCGAAGCCGAGATGATCGATGTAAAAGTTTCCCAATACTTGAAGTAAGGTGAGGCTTTAATAGGACTACAACCCCATTAAAACTACAGCCCTATTAAAGCCTCATAATAAAGCTGAGGCTTTAATAGGACTACAACCCTATTAATAGGACACAATTTTTTTTGGTTAGGATCTAAACAATCAAAGTAAAACACATCTTAAAATAGTATCGAGAAATATGATTTTAAGACTGGAAATCTTTGTGATAGTCTTAAAATATATTTTTATTTTTTAATTATAAAATTTAAAGCTTAAAAAATAGAGTAGATCGAGCTAATCTATTAAAACTTGAAAAACTTAAATTTGACTGTAAAAAAATGTGTTACAAGATGCACTATTTTAAAACTTGAAATCTTTTTTTTTTTCTCCTGTCCATGTATCTTGATGTCGAGATGATCAATTTCAAGATATTTGGGCATTAAACAACCTCGTCAAATGAAATTTTTGAGGTGCGCTCTAATTTGATTGATTAGAGCCTCGGCTCTAAATACGCGTTTGTTTCTTTGGCCACCGAATCTTTCTCACTTTAGATTTGAAGGGCACTGTTCTCTCTCTGGGTATCAGCCCATTTTTCTTCAGGCTTTTCTTTCTCATCATCAGTGGCTTCTATGGCTTTGCAGCTTGCTTTTTCGGGGATCTTAGGTTTAAGTTTTAAGTAGCTTCCCATGGGGAAGTCACCTCTCTCTGTCTCAAAAATCTTTGGGTGATTTCATTCACCCATAGGCCTCTCTCTCTCTCTCTCTCTCTCTACTAACTCCTCGTCTTGTTTGTTCTTCTTTCCCTTCCCTCGTGTCTTTTGTGTCTTAGTAATTTACTACAAACTAAAGTGGACGTAAGTAAAGAAAAGTAAGTGACTAGTAGAACCGTTACCCGTTTAACGGAACGACG